TATAGTACATAGTAAAGATCATTCATGTTCTGAACATGTTCTGATCCAATGTTTACCAATTTCGATCACTAATTTGCTTATCAGTCTATCATCAAGCCTTAATACTATCAGTTATTTGTTACAGTATGTAAACATTATCATTTTTTTGAAATTTTCTTAGGCTGGAAATTTTTTTCAAAAATGTTTTTTTGTAAAAATTATGCTAATAAATTTTAACTCAGAATTTTTGGTTTATAGTGCAGTTTTGGAAGCTTATCAAAATTAAATGCAAATTTTTTGATTTTTATTTTAAGTATTGAGTAAGTCATATAAAGTTATTAAAATTGTTTTAAGGTTTAAATTAAGAATACTGAGCAACTGCCGCAAAATTAATTCAGAAGTACAGAACAAACTCAAGAAACCATCCATTAAAAAAGTTAAGAATATTGAATTACTAAAAATCCACTAGATACTTTAATGACTCATACTAAAATAAATTGTAATTAAATTGAGCTAATAAATTCGCTGCGCTTTAGAAAAATATAATAATCAAAAAACTTGATCAAATCAAGTTTGTAATGGTTAGTGAGAATATTGAAATTGAAATCATTAATCATTTTATTTATTTTCTAATAGATAAATTTGATCTATGAATCAATCAATAATGTGATCAAAACTTTTACTGATATAAATGCAGTTCTGTATTATTTATGTTTGGTAATTTTTTAGAGACTTTAATTGCTTTTTTGGGAAAATGATAATTCAATTATTCCAAATAAAAATTAAATGGTCCAGCTGTTAACTTATAAATGATTCAATTGTTAACTCATAAATGATCCAGTTGTTAACTTATAATTGTTAACTCATAAATGATCCAGTTGTTAATTGATTGTAAGTTACTTCCAAATAAATGCTAAGTTTGTATTCAAATATTTTGATATAAGCACTATTTTTATTAATATGAATAGTCCATTTTTGAAACTGTGCAAAAATGGATAACCTTTTGGAATTTTGGAAATTAGCGAAGATTTTTAAAAAATTTATTTCCATTGTAATTACTGAATTAGGCAAAATAAGAAAAGCTCATTATCCAAAATTAATATTTTTAAATGTAAAAAATGAACAGTAGTACTGAAGAAGGAAATTCTGATATAAAGGAACTAATATTCCCATATGGAAAAGTAATAACTTGCTGGTCTTGCAGTTGCCGAGTGCACATCTGGTTAATCCAAAGTATTGTGCTCGGATTTAATTATTCATAATAAGTAATCATAAGTTGAGAGATGCACAGTTGCTATCGAGCAAAACTTTGAGATTAATTTCTTTTGCTTTTCTACAAAAATTCACTCATTTTCTGAATATTTCTGCTGAATTTGCATATTTATAAAACTGCATTTATATTATAGTAAATCAAAATTCAGTAAGTATTTAAATTGTTTAAGCTATTGGCTTAATTAAGCTAAAGACTTAATCAATTATTAATAATAATTATTTCTGGAATAATTTTTATTTTTTATAGACGCAAATATTTTTTTGTACTTTTTTAGTTCCAAGAAAGTTAATACTTTTCATTCACTGATAAAAACTTTTGCAGATAAGGAAATTACATAGGAAGTATTACTAGAATTGTATCCAGAGTGTTTTTAATATTTATTTTACATAATTTATGTACAGTTGTTCAGAATTGTGTATTGAAGAAATTTGCTGGAATTTATTTTCAAAATATATATCATATATTAATTATATAAAAAATAAAATATTTAAAAATAAAATAGAAATAAAAAATTAAATTGCTGCTAAAGCAATATTATATTTTTGCATGACATTAGCAATTTCGATTTAATCATTACACTAATTAATTCATTCATAACTGATCAATTTTTGACTTTTCATAATATGGAAGGTCAAAAATAGAAATTAGAATTGAAAGCAAAAAACTGATTATTGCTAAAATAGTGAAGCATTTATGTTAATTTCCAAAGAATACTGTATAATTTTTAATCCAATTTTTAAGCATTTTAATTTAATCTAATAAAAGTAAAGAAGAATTAAAAATGATTTATTTTTAAATATTTTGGCTGCAAAAACTATTAGAAAAAATATTAGCATTAAAACTGATAAATTATTTTTGAGTTAGTTCTTTTCATTAAAGATAATTTTTTATTTTTAATGAAAAAAAACTAATTCAAAAATAGTAAACGAGTAAAAATTAAGTATTTTGTTGAGATACTTTGGTAAATAAAATGTTATATCATTATTTTAATTGTTCAATTACTTTAGGATTATTGTATATTTGCATGCGAAAGGGGTTAAAAATGTAATTTATTGAGTATTATAATTCAAAACAGCAATTTATTTTGATAAAAAATTAAAATATGCAAATTTATTAAGTTTGCAATTTATGCAAATTTATTAATCATATACTTAATGCATAAAAATTGTTTATTCTATAAAATACACATATATTAGTATAAAAACAGTGAATAACTATTTTTTTACTGTAATTGATATCTAATAATTTTCTACAAAGTACTTGAATTTTTGTAATTATATTTACTGAAGATATTATTTATTAATTAATTAATTAACTCATATGTAGCACCTCTTATTTTTCAGCAAATATGAGAGTATTAGTTTTTCACGCTATTGGGAGGAGAATTCATAACAGTGCTTATATTTTTCAATTTGTTTGTAATTTCTACACGTACCAAAATTATACGTAAAAATATAGTACTTATTGACGTATTTTTTGAATGTAATCAGTTTGCAAGCGTGTAATTAACAAAATTGATTATAAAATTCAAATTAATTTTTCCAGTTAGTAAGTTTTATTATTCAAATATATTGTATCGAAACATTGACAATTGAAGTAGCGAAATTTTCAAATATTTTCTATAATTTATTTTTGAAGCTTAATGTGCTCACATCTCAATTCATTATACTTTATATTATTAGATTTAATGTAGTTGATTAATCTTAATTACTTAACATATGAGTTTTTGAACAACAAAACTCTTTTCTGAAAAATAGTCTTAATCTGAATTGAAATAATGAATTGGTTTACATTAAGTCACGATTTGATGTTGTCACTGATATAGTCTCAATTTAATTTCTTTAATTAATAATTTAATTAATTATTTTTTGCTGATGATGATAAAATTTACTTAAATAGTGAATAATTAATTTACTGTACTTCAAATCAATGATAACTGAACTTTAATTGACTTAAATATTTAATTAATTACTCAAAATTATAATTAGCGTGCAATATAAAAATACAATCAAAGTACTGCTCAGTTATGGAATGCAAAATGTTGTTCATAATTTTTATTCATTTTAGATACATTATTGACTTAATTTGAATTCCAAAATGATCATCGTTCACAGCGCTTTATAAAATGCAAGCGCTATTTATGCCTTTTAGGTTTTTTTAATAAAATCTTTTTTCACGACTGAAAAGATTATTGCGTATTGTATAATAAATATCGAAGATTGTAAAGGAAGAATACAAAATTACTGTATAACTTACAGTTTATTGCTTCTGCATTAATTATCAGAAACTTTTCTGGTTTTTCAAACTTTCAGATCATAAAATTTAGTTTTTGCATTTTTATTCATATCAGTAATTATTAATTCAAAAATTACTTTAGTTATGAGTTATTAATTTTTTCAATTTGGATAAACTGTAAATATTGTACAAAATTATTTTGCATATTAATTTAATGAGATTGATAGTAACAAACTTTGATATTAATTAAATGATTAACTTGAAAATAAAAAGCATATTTATTTAAGTTGAATCAAGTATTAGAAATAGATACTTAAAAAATTAATTTCAATATAAATTATGGATGGCAATGAAATGTAAATAATGAGTATTTTTGTCCATTTTGCTTGAAAATTGTTACTACTATGCATATTTGAATTACTGTTAATGAATTTTGTTATTTTTTAATTAGAGCATTCAAATATTCAGTTATCATAATTTTTTACAAAAATAAAAGTAGTAAGAACTCAATTTAAATCAATTTTTGAGATTAAAATCTTTAAAAATTTTTAATTACTATTTCGAATTCAATTTAATCCTTGAAATTAACTACTTTTGCTTTATCACTACCAATATATTTCACATGGAATCTAATTAATTAAAAGGATTTTTAATTTCTATTGCTATCTTTGATTAAGTGCATTTTAAATTTTGTACAGTGGAAAGATTCTAACTTTTGTAGAAATAACAGTTAAAATATTAGTTATGATTGAGTATTTAATTACTTTTATCTGCGGAGATCAAAAATATTAAATGTATGTGTGATTTTTTGGAAATGATATACCATTTTATGCAAATTTAAATAAGTTATTAAATTTGAAGATCTCAACTAAACAGTTTAATATCTTTAGGCAAAATAATAATTTTGATTGAATAACTCGAAGATTTGAATTATTAAAATGTATCAGTGTAAACTTTTCGAGAATAAATCATCAAAGAATATCAAATCAACAACTGAAATTTGTTTGCCACAACAGAAAGTTTGCTTTTAATGATTGGAATTAATTCAAAAAATAACTCTAAAAGCAATATTTTTATAATTGATATTATATTCCTGAAAGTTATTATTAAATTAAAAATCTTTAAATTCAAATAAAAATTATTAAATTATATTAATAAAAAATTAAATTTTAGTTTATTCAATCAAATCAAACAATTTTATTAAATAGAAAAATTGTGAGAAGAACAGTCACACGATGTTGTTGTAACTCAAACGAACTGAATAACTTGTCAAAACTTAGATCAAATCGACTTGATCGATATGTATCAAGTAATTAATTTGAATATTCATAAATATTACTAGTACTCCTAATAATAATAATAATAATAATAATAATAATAATAATATTCAAGCAAAAATGAAATTTTGTCAACTTTAATTTTCCACACACTTGACGTTTTTTAATAATAATTATTGTTGTATTTGATTACATAATGACTTTTAGATCCATCAAATAGAAATAATGAAAAATACATGCAAAAAATAATTAATAATCAAACACTTTATGATAATAACAGTCATATAATTTTACCGAAAAGAAGACAAGAACCGAAATTACGATTCCAATGTTTTTATTGTGGTAAATGGTTTAGTGATTCAGAAAATATCCGTGGTTCATGCAAGTAATCCATTTTCAGTATTGTTATTTATCATTTAAAATATAATCAGGAAAATATTTTTTATTTTTATTAATTAATAAATAATATTATTATTCATGTTATTTATTATTATTATTTATTTTTTTAATATAATAAAGAGTAAAAAAGAATTTAAATATTTAAATTAGTATTTGCTTTCATCGCAGTTTATTCAGAGAAGCACCTGATAATGTGGAACACTTAATACGTATTTTCACGTGTTATCCAGTCGCGCAAGCTGCTGTCTATCATTGCTGCAAAAGTAATGGTGAACTATTGACCAATATTAGCCACTATGGACAAGGATATGTTAGTTTCTTCATTTGCATAAAAATATGAATTTAAATATTTAGTTTAATATGCAATAATTGAGCTAAGAAAAATAAATAATGTTTCAAATAATCTTTTAGAATTTTTGAAGCCAAAATTATGTTTTAATAAATATTAAAATTTAATTTTTTTTAGATCTGTATTTTTTATTAAATATTTTCTTTAGTTTAGCAATGATTACCTAAAAATTTAACGTGATAATAGCTTAGTTTGAAGTTATTATTTTTTACAGAATTTATTTGCATTTGGCTCACGTAATACGTCAATTTTGAAACGCCTGAAACGATTGTTATTTGTATCGTTGCTTTCATTGATAATACCATGCTTATGTTGTTACTTCCCAGCTCACGTAATTAATAAGTGTTTTGGGGGAGGAAAGCGTGGACGACATCAAACATGCGAACCAACAGCTACAACTCCCGCAAATTTCTAAAATAAACGCAGAATCATTTATTTTAAGTGAAAACGTCAAACTTTACGTCAAAATATAAACAAAAAAGCATTTAAAAGTTGAATTTCATGAAAATTAATTTCTTCTTTCTGAATTTTTTGAAAATTGAATTTTTTTATTTTTTGCATAAAATTTAGTTTTTCACCAAAAATGTATTATCAAACATAATTCAAAAAAATTAAAGTGATTTTTTTCTATGAAAAATGAATAGATTTTTCGAGTCTTATGAGTGATCTGAAAATTTGAATTTCTAATTAATTTAAAATTAAAACTTTTTAAAATAATTGTTGAAAAATTTAAGCACTTTTTAATATTTTATTTGAAATATAATTTTTGCTACGGTAATAAAATTTTATGTTTTGTATTTTTTTATTATTTATTCGAAATAACAAAAATTTGCAATATTATGAAAATAAACTGAAGTCATAAAAACTTGCAATCTTAACAAGGAACGAGTTTTGAGCAAAATAAAAAATATATTTAGATCAATTTGGCAGATTTAAACAAGCATATGAAATTGGAAATTATTAACGTATTTCAATTATATTTGTAATTATTGTATAACTGAAATGAAAAAATTGTGAAAATAAACTTTTTACTAAAAGGTCAAATTAAACGAGGTCAATAAAGGTCATATTGTGTTTGCTTTGGGTAATGCAATTTATTTTTGACTCAAAGGAGAGCATTGTTGGGCAGCTCACAAACCGTTTAATCTGAAATGTACAACACGATTTGTGATGTTGCCCATCAACGTACTGCCTTACATGCCAGGTCAAAGGTTGCAAGGAATTTGAACTTGATAAGGAAACAGAATTGATTAAAGCTAAAAATCCATCCGAAATAGATCATTGAGCACACACACACTGATAAAAATAAAATTTATTGACTGATAATAATTTTTTGCTTAAATTTGGTAAAGAGTCTGTACAGTATTGAAGCAAACTGTAGGAAATTATTTCTCCTATACTATAACAACTAATCAAGTACTGTAAAATACTGTGATCAATTATACTCTTTGCTAAACTCGCAAAAAATTTATTATTAAAATATTTGAAAAATTTTTCAAGTTTCACTTACACAACAATAATTTTGAAGTACATTACTTAAAGTTATCTAAATTACTTCACTCTCTGATACAGTAATAGTATTTCAAAAAAAAAAAATACAGTAAATATTCAAAAAATAGACTGTATTTCAATCTGTCGTTTCAAAACATTCAAATTAAGATTTATCAGCTACCGCAACTTTGAAGTAAATATATATATTCAAACAGATTATATTAACAAAAAAAAATGTAAATAGCGCTTTACTCTCAATTTTATAAACCATTCCAGCAATTCAAATAAAAATCATATTTGTATAATCTGACTGCATCAAAATCAAAATGTTTAATCTGTTTATTAATCATTCAAAAGTATTGATTAATAAAAATGATTAAAAATATTAGTAAATATTCAAAAAAATTTGACAGTGGTAACTGATGTTTATTAGAGATGCATAAATTAATTCATCCTTTATTTAAGAAGTTATAATATTAATAATAGTAGTAGTGATAATTATAGTGGTAATAATCATATGATACTGACAATGATAACGATAGTAGTAATAATTATAGTAGTAATATATATATATATGATAATGACAATGATAACGATAGTAGTAATAGTAATAGTGGTAATAATCATATGATAATGACAATGATAACGATAGTAGTAATAATAATATTTGAACTGAACGTAAACTACTAAATCTAAAAATGTTGTGAAGAAAAATTATAAAATGTTCGGTTCTGCATAAAAAATTAAGCTTAAAAATGTTTTTACAAGCAAAAAATATTTAGAAAATAATACGAAAGATTGAAATATTCGTGCAAAAGCTCAAACATTTATTCAAAAACTGACACGCAAATAAATGCAAGCATACGTGTGTTATCGTTTGCTCAGCTCCGATGAAAAGGTATGCTAATAGAATCGTTCATTTTAAAACCGCAAATGCCATAGAATTTTCTATCAGTAATAATAATGATCATTTTATCATTATTAGTAGTGCTGTATGATGATAATGATAATGATAATGATGATGATAATGGTAATTATTAACGAATATAATGATAAATTAAGATAGCAACAAATGAATGCCAAAAAATAATAACAAATAATTTCAATACTTTTGATTATTCGTTATTAATTACTATTATCATCATCATTATCATTACGATTTTGATTATTGTCAAGTTTTATTATTGATATTTTTACATTGTACTAAAGCATCACGAGTTTATGAATATATATTTGTTGAAAATATTCAACGATTTCAAATATTAATGAGCTAAAAAGAAATGAAATAATGAAAATAGAACGAAAGTAATCAAAATATACTGGCAGTTCGGATATAATTTTGGTGATTTACAATGAAAATACCCAATAATTAGGTGCTATTTTATGAATTTCAATACGTTTTTGGTGAAAAACCAAAAGATTTTGAATAAAAATAAACAAAATACTAAAATAATAACAAAAAATCAGTAATAATAATACTTAAAATGAATTTGCATTACTGAAAATGAAACTGTCAAGTTTATTTTTTTTAAAAACTTTTTTAGAAATCAATAACGATAATATACATTTTAGTAGCGAAAATGACAACTAGACACAAAAATTAAAGTTTTTTTGAAAAAAAAGTAATCGAACATTTTGAAAATAAAAGTGATGAATACTGACAGAGACAATAATTACTTTAATTATGCTCATCAAATTTAATTTTACGAATTTATTAAAATTGTATATACCACTAAGACTTGTATTAATAGCAGCCGTTATATCAACAAACATAACAAGTCCAATAATAATGAAAATAATGCTAATCATATTAAATAAATAGTGGTCTCAGTGATAATATTGTAGTAATGATAATAATAACAATAATAAATAAATAAATAATAACAATAATTATAATTATAATAAAATTAATAATAATAAATAAATAATAACAATAAACAATAATAGTAACAATAATAACAAATAGCAATAATAGTGATAATAATAATGATAATACTAATAATAATAACGATAATAGTAATGATAGTGATAACGGTATAAATGATGAAAATAAAGAGCAAATATAATATTTTGTAATATGGAAAAGCTAACAGAAATGGATGATTGAATTATTAAATTATTCCGAGGAGTGAGAATTGGTAAGGAAGAAGTAATCTGAACACAAAAACATGCTCTTATCATTGCCACACAAGCAGCGAAGTGAAGACATTTTTGTAGCCTTCAGATGATAAGAGTAATTACTTTTTGATATGAAAAAATTGAAATGCTTGGGAGATTACCATCACAGCAGCAACTTTTGATCAGTTCTGATGTTTTTTATGCAAATTTTGCCTAATAATCAATTATTATTTCGAGTACATCACACAGTTTAGTTGATAATACTTTGCTAACGATTGAAGTTAAATAATAATAATAATAATAATAATAATAATAATAATGAAATTATTAATTCAAAAAATATGATAGTTAACTTATGCTTTATATCTATTTATGTTTTGATATTAAACTTCTATTTTTGCATGTATGAGAAAACGTTTTGGAGAAAATTTGAGTTTTAGACTTTAAAATAATTATAATTATTATTTTATGTAATAATAATAATTAATAATTAATAATAATAATATTATTATTAATAATGATAATACGTAAAAAATAAACATAGCAGCGTGATATTCAGATATATTATCAATACATTTATTAAAATGATATAACTGAACAGTATATAAGTACATTCGAATTTTAAATTTAAATACCTAATTCATAAAATATATTCGCTCAAATAGCTGACCTAGCCTTGTTGATAATAATAAGTATTATTCACATTATAAATTGTAATACATAGCCTGAAAAGCGAACTTACTACTTTAGTACAAAAACGTAATTTTGAAATTTACAAAAATGTCTGAATTCCATTTACCATGGCGAAAATATGGAAAATAAAAAAGTGAACAATATAATCAAATATGACATCAAAACACGTTTTCACTTCAACTTCATTAGTATAATCATTCTTTTATTAAACAGTAAAAGTACTAGCAAAAACTACATACTATACGTTTAATTGACGTGTACTGGACGTTCAAGATTTAAAAAAAGTTTATTACTTATATTGATTTAACTTAAGTTTCTTTCAATATTTTTTTATTTGTGTTAAAATTTGGAATTTTCTATTTTTCAACAGACCAAAATTAATTTAAATACGGAAAAAAAATACTTATGCAAAGTTCTGCTTGAAATTTAAATAGAAAAAATATGTTTACAAAGATACATATTTTAATTTGAGTTAATTACAGTATTATATAGATTATGCAAAATAAGCAAAACTGATATGATCTAAATTAGTTTTCTTGATTACTCACTTAGTAAGTCTGTATAAATTTTTATTAAAATGATTTGTATTAATAAAAAACAACTGTGTACAGTATCATAATAAATTAATAAAATAAAGCATACATTTGCAATAATTTTTTTCAGATCAATTATGATCTAGCAATTCAAAATTATAAAATATTCAACTTTTTGAATTAATTTAGTAATCAGTTTTCGATATTCATCAATATTATTATTTAAGAAGTTTATAAAAACTTTCAAATATTTAACTTTTTGAATTAATTTAGTTATCAATTTTTGATATTTATCTATAATTATTATTTAAGTAGTTTATTGAACATAAATATACTTTGCAGATAGGTTAAATTGTGAAAATTGAATCCAATCAAATATTGATTTGTTTTTCTGATAAATAATAAGTAATGATGAAATGTTTTGGAATTTCTCCCGAAAGAATAACGAAAATTTGAACTTGTCAATTTCAATTTCCTGTTACTTTTTTGAAACTTACTGTGCAAATTTTTAGGTTTGATCATAATCACTGACTTTTGATGAACTTGAAATAATTTTAACACTATTTAAAATTCTGAGCTTGACACAAGATCAATGATAAATCGAATTTGATGAATATTTTGAATAATTAAAGATCAATTATTTGTGTATTAATTAGTGGATATTTTGTTACTGAATCATATATTTTTCATTACGATACCCTTAGACAGACTTGGGCTGTAATTTTTAAACCATTAAAATTGTTACTTTACGAGACATTTATAAAGTAAGTTATTATGCTCTCATACTCTCGAAATCTTCTAGTTGTGCTCTACTATGTGTAGTAGAAATAATGGATTGGGATTAGATATTCTTACTGAATAGTTTTGATTTAGTTTCATCCCATATACTTAACACTTTTTAGTATTATTCTTGACAATAGGAAATGTGAATTCATAATCTTTCCTATTATGTTTATATGTAATTATATTGTGTATTATTTTAATTGTTTTTTAATTGTTTATGTTATTTATTTTCTTGATTTTTACTATTAAAATGTTCCAACGTAAATTATTTCACAGTTTTTGAACATGTTTTTTATGCAGTGAAAGGAATTATCAAAAATGTTTTGTTATTTGTTGCAAAATTTGTAAGTGAACTTTAACCTTTCAAGTTTTTGAAATATATATTTTTTGCACATAAAAATTATTGCTCATTTTCGAGAAAGTATATAAACATATTAATCAATTTTGTAATATTCTATAATTTAGTTTTAGTTTTTTGAAATGTTCGGTTGTATTATCTTTTATTAATTAGTTGTATTTATATTCAGTTTATAAATATTTCATATTTAGTAAAGCCTATCAAATGACTCCGGACAAAAGTGAAACAGTGGATGTGAAGAAATCATTTTTTGCCAGAAAATGGAAACGATATACAGTTTACGCGCTTATGGGCTTCGCAGGTAAGACAGATTCTTATAACATTTATTTCCATCAGAAATTATTTCCTTCAACAAAAAGGAGGATGAATAAAATATTGTGTACATTTTTGAAATTATTATTTTTTACTTCTAATTATTATTTTTTGCTTTGTTATAAAATGGTTGATGATGACAATTCTGGATTTTAGCTTGGCATTATGTCTACTATACAATTGAGTTCAATGAAAAAGTTAGAAAACCTGAAGAACGACGAGACATGATGTATATTCACTGGATAAAAAAGCAATTCCCGGCATTGAGACAGTATGGCATTCCATATAAGGATGATACGAAGAGTAGTGAATAATAGAGACTGCTTTTGTGATCGTATTATCGTCCGCAGATTATATTGCCTTCTATTTTTGAATATTTTTTGTATTAAAAAAAGGTAAGATTTATTTTTGCTATTAGTATTTCCATTCATTTCTTTTATTTTTACAGTATTTACATTGTTAAAATGTTGCTCATTTCTGATTAGTATTTAATTTTATCTGATTTTTATATAACCAAATTACAGTTGTAAATAATCGTATCATTCATTAAACGCTTCATGCGCATTATCGCAATGTTTTTTTCCCAGTGATGTATACTGTTCGAGAATATAAACATTAAATCTTTGTCCACATTGTAGGATAAATTTGCTGAAATCTTCGAGTTACTGTAGCTTTAATTTTCTATTTTTTACTTTTCCTGAACTTTTTTCAGTTCAGATGAAATTCATGTTTTAGAATTTCCGTACGTAATTTTTCCGAAACGGAAATTTCATTTTACTGCTGTGTTTGTTTAATTGTTTGTGGTCATAATGTCTTTAAAGTATAGTGCATTTAATAAGTTCTCAAGAAAGTATTTATAGAGAGCCATGTGTTGAATAAGTTATAAAATCTTTTCGTATTAATGTTTCACTTGGTTATTTTTTTAGCTGATTATGCCTTGACGTGATTCTTATTTCATACTTTGAAGTTTTAGCGTTTTATACATTATTAAAGAGCTGTTGTAATGCATGATTATAGGACATATTTTAGTGTTCCAAGTTAAACTTACAAGATTGTATCAAACATGATGCTATTGTCATTGTTTTGGTTGTTAATCCTTTTATTAAAAGTTAAGTACCTTTCATGCAAGCACTTGCTTTATATTACTGAAATGGAAGATTTTCGGTCATCACTGTGGTCAGATTTTTGAAAAGATTCGCATTTTTATGAAGTTGATGATATAAAACGGTCGTTTAGAAATGGCAATTGTTGTTAATGCTGTGGAGCTGTTGATGTAATGTTTCGCTTTTTATTGCAATCAGTTGGAATTTGAATAGCAAGCAAAGTTATCATTATTATGTATCAGTTTAATGCTAGGTAGAAGTTTCCGTATTTGTTTAGGCATTTATGCAATTAATATGAATAAACAGACAGGAAAATCGAAATCTGTTTTATGAGGTTACTGGACGATGCAGATGTATTTTTTTTATTGAACGTGGTGCTGATAATTCGCTTGTAGAAGGTCGTGTAATTAAATCATGAATTTGTCTCTGGGTTAAAGGTAGGCTTTTTGAACGACTAAGTTTTCATTCTAAGATTACTTTGGGTAACTGAATTTTTATTCTGATATTTTTTTGATGCCGAGATTTCGCGATTGCAAATTGAACTTCTATAAATATAAATATATATGCAAAGGATTCTTTACAAAACAAATTCTTCAGTAGTACGGTTGGATTTTTTAGATTTATTTACTAATAAATTCATACATATATATTTATATAACAATAAAAAGTAGTGTTTTTCATTTTATATGAAGTTTCTAAAAAAGGAAATCTAACAATATAAATAATTTTCCAATTTTTGATTTTCAGAATTAAAAATTGGTGAACGTGAAAGAAGAAAAATTGTAAATGATACTGGTTATGAAGAAATTTTGCAAATTATTTGTACTGTTACAACAACACAAGAAATAACGTGGTGTGATAGTAGCTCAGTTATTAGCTGAATAATTTGAGTTCTAGAGATTCGAATTGCAGAAAATGGCACCAAGTTATTATTATATTTTAATTTTGAAATCAAAACCGAACAAATTTAAAAATGCAATTACATAAACCTAATTTCAAGCATGTGTTACTGATTTAAAAAAAACAGAATACCTTGTTTTAGTATTATAAATTGTTAAATACAATTTGGTTTACAGATTGCTTAAAAAAGTCTCACATATTTGGAAATTGAGTCAAAGTAATCATTTTCGTTGGACAAATAAATTAGTTTCATCGCGGAATTTCAGTATTTTCATCTATAATAGTTTCAAATTGATCTAAAAATTTCATTTAGGCTAATGCAAGTGCTTAATAATTGTCCTTGATCTTGATTGCATGAAAATTTAAAACTGATCATGGTCTCTGAATATAAATAAGCAAAAGCTGATTCAATAATATACAGGACTGAAGTTACTTCGAGGTTTAAATTCAGTCAAAGTAACCAGTTTTCAAATGAAGGCTGTGTGATTAGTCATGCAAATATTTTCATAGCTTATTTCAGGTATTTATTTGGGTATTGAATACTTCAGAGTTTAATTATCTCACTTTTTAACAATATTGAAGTACTCTAATTTTTAGTATTTGCTTATTTGATAATGTTAAGGATTCCAATGGATTTGAATTTGAAAAAATTAGAATTATTCATGCTTGCTTCATGGTTAATTTACATGAACAGCCATTCATGATCAAACTTAATATGCCCATAAAGAATGTACACTTCGGAATCCCCAAAATATTTGTTTGAGAATTTCATTTATTCGCAATGAAATTCAGACAATTCTTTCGATCTTCACTGAGTGCTATTTGTTGGTCATGGAGGTACTTCAGGGTTATAAGGCCATAAAGTCTTGTCAGTAATAAAATAAATATGTAATTTGGTGTTAAAGTTCACAGAATTCATTAAGATTACAGGTCATTAGTCAAAGAAATGAATCAGTGGTAAATTCAACTTTGAAAAGTTGAAAAGGAAGGAAAAATTTGAATTTCAAAAAATTTTGAAGGAAAAATTTTTCAAAATTTAGAAATAAAAATTTATGAGTATAATTTTGGAAATCATTGAAAAAATGAGAATTCAATGAGATATGATAATAAAGTAAGCATACTCAACCAGTATGCAATGTGCCTTAATTTGCTTAATTTTCAAATTCATCACAAAAATGAAATAAATGTTTTAGATGCTTTCCGCAAGAATAATTCTAAATTTCAAAAATCAGTAATAGTTTTTCAGCGTATGTGCAAGTTTCCGTAACTCGATTACAATCTATGCTTTCAATTTGCTTGAAAATAATTTTTTAGTCTTAAAAAATTAGATTTAAATTCGAGATTTTATTTTTCAAGTTTAAATTTAGAATTTTAAGCTCACAAGCAAATAACAAGGGATTAATTTAAATCGTATTACTTTAAGCATGCAACCCAAGTAACTTTATTTTTACTAACTCTGCTAAGAAAGTTATATTATTAACTTTCATCTTGTATAATTACGAAAAGTCAAATCTTTGCTTCTTCTGTTTCTTCTATTTAATAAAAATAAAAATTTGAGACTTTATTTTCTTAGAAAAATATTCTTACTCTTTTGGTATTTCTGTTTGTAATATAAATTTGGAACTTAATTTTAAAAAATACGGTAAAATTCCGATTTATTAGTATTTGATGTTTTAATATTTATTCTAAAAAATCTCAAGCAGATCTAACATATTTGATAATTAGCTCATATTTTTCTCAAATTAGCGTAATTTTAAATAACTTTTAGGCATTTTCATCGTCACTATTTACATCAATTTTCGTTCTGCAAATTATCTGATCATTTATGCTGATCATCTAGAATTTAATCAGTTCTGAGGTCAGTTATTAAAAAACTGAAAAATTTGCATTGACTTGATCTTATGTTATTTTTAAAATGTTTTTAATTCTCGGAAATTTGCATAATTCAAAGTCTTTCATGCAAAATTACACAACTTTACTTTGCTGAACCATTCTTGCTGTGAAAATCGAATATATCTTTGTAGCAAATATTTAATTATGCATATTTTGTAAAAATACTTTGCAGAAGTAATAAATGGATAAAAAATAAAATTGACAAATATAACATTACTTGTCAAATGTTATCAAAATCTATATTATTACTTTAATGATTGACCTTAGAACTGATATGCATAATTAAATTCTTTTTTGATTAAGAAAAAATGTTTATAAGTTTAATAAGTTTAATTAATTAGCTGTAGTTTGTTGCTTGCTAATTAACTATAACTTTTTGTCTTCTTTTTTATTACTGAAATAGCAATTATTTTTATTTGATTTTTAGCAATTTCTAATATTATATTATTAATATTTCAATACATTTAAGCACTTAATTATGCAGAATTTATTTTCAAAAAATTTGTTTTTTTTTTCAAATATATAAAAACAAATTTGAAAATACAATTATTGCATTATTTTAAAGTAATTGCAAAGTGATGCGTATATTTCATTCGACTTCACTTCTCAAAATATTTTTCACTCAAATACTAATAACAAATATATATTTAGTCATAAAATTATTCATATTTTCTTGCTCATTTTGGTCATTTCAATTTTCCCTCTCATTTTTGGACAAAATTTCTGCAGAATCAAATTTTAAAAGTAATAATAATTATGGCAATAGCTATATAAATCATAATATGAACATAAAAATGATAGTCATAATGGCGGTGATAATATTATTATTATTTATTATTATTATTATTATTATTATTAAGTAAAAAAAGTAAATTTTGAAGGTACTGTATCTAGAGATAAGCTGTAAACAAAGCAGTCAATAGTTTATCCTTGAAATTTTTTTCCTAAATTCTTCATTTTAATATTAAATTTTTATTTTGTTAAAACAATAATTAATATAATTATAATAAAGACAAAGTGAAAATTATTAATAATTATGATTAATTTATTTGCTTTGAATGCTGAGTGGAATAATTAATAGCAATGATGGCATGTATGATCAAATTACTGAGTACAGTAGACAAAGGTATTAATTAATGAATATTTTTTGATGAAATAATGATTACGTATGATGAGTACCAAGTAAAATAAGAAATCACACAAAATAAGAAGTTTCCATCGACTGAAATATATGCATGATTAATATCGATTAGTCAACTGATGAGATAGAAAATTTTGGGATCAAAAGTTACGTGATGTCTGCGTGAAGTTATGATTTTGACTGATCCAATCCCTTCTCCTCCTTCGTCTTATTCCGCGAAAAAAAAAGAAATTTGGGATGAAATACGAAATGTACTACTACGTCACTGGCATACTGTTGATCTAGTCAGACTACAGTTCATGCATGTATGGTTATTGATTTTTTTTAGTCTGCAAATCACTCTAATAAATTACTTCATGCCACAGGTATTTACTGTATTCATTGTCTACTGTATCCACTAATTACTTATCGTCCTTTACAGTAATTACTAAGTAGCAAAATTATTTCTTTTCATATCAAGTAATTAATATTTATTTTTTTTTGCAAAGTATATTTGCAGTTGTGATAGACTAGTTTACTTTTTCTGCTACTAGACATTATCAGTCTTATCAAAAATACTGTTTTCAGTATTATTATTACTCCAATGAATGAAATCCTTCCACGTTTTACGTTTTAGACGTGATTTTGCATTTCAGTACATGTCACTCCCTCACTTAGCGATGGCGCTGTTTCTAATTCTGTACGTGTTAATCAGCTTATTTGCAGTTCTGTGTACGCAAGAGGTGCGATAGCAATTAATAATAATGTTTTTGTTATTCATTTTACTTATTTAATTATTAATTATTAATTAACTTATTTACATTTATTTATCATATAAATTAATGATATGATTCTGATGATACCCTTTAATTATCTCTTTTTTTCGTATTTATGATCAGTTATTGCTCAAAGATTAAAAAGTAATTGTAAAGTTAGAGAAAATAAATATTCCAATAAATATTAATTCAAAAATAATACATTCTTAAAAAGATAATGTCTTGGTTTTCTGTACAATATTCTAATTAAGTATAATTTTTTATACTAAAAATGGTTTTGACCATCCGTCTTGTACAAATCTGTCTACCATAATATTGCAATTACTTTATTTTTCCACATCATTTGACCTTTAATTATTACTTTTACAGAATGGTAAATGGAACATTATTGTACTTTCGTCAATCCTTGCTATCATATTTCCTGTTTCTGTTTGGGTCATTTACATATCTATGATTGTACAAGTAAGCATATTTTACACTATTTTAAGCTGCTAAAAAATTTAAAAAACCATTCCATACAGTATTTTACGCGCTAAATTTTCTTTTGAATATTTTTTGTAAAAAACAAATTTTTTTGAATATTCTGTAAAAAAACAAGTTTCTTCACATGTACTATTATTACTTACTAATTTAGTTTTAATTGCTGTTTGTATGATTTTTAAAATGTGTGTTAAGAAATAAGTTAAATAAATATATGCAGAAATGAAATTACATAGATTTTACTGCTTAAAGGCGATTTTATTAATAAGCTTAATAATTGCTAGTTGGGTGCTTAGGATTTATTACACTTCTTGATGACTAAAAAGCAAATCAAGATTATCACTTATGTGGTCTACAAAAATGTATAATCTAGATATTTGAGTGTTACAGAACAACTTTTAATTTTCTAGATATTTCAGTGTTACAGTACAGCTTTCAATAGTGTTAATTGAATAATTACAGGAATTTACTAATGATAATGAAATAAAGATGTCAATTTTGCATGGGAATTTGTGCATTCCATTACTGTTCCAACTTTTCATTATGCCTCGACATCGTAAATTATTCCTGTTCATTACTGTAATATGGTCTGTCAGTAATGTGCTAGCTTGTGCGACTATTATGTCCAAATCTCTGCAGTTTTTCCATACAGTTAGTTTCATTACCCTGAAAATATTTCCAAAACAAAGGCCCTACAAAAACAATGCTTCTATTGCAAAATTGATAAATTGTTTATTATCAAATAAAAGTTATCAAGTTATTAAGCACTGTAGCTTAAGAAGCTTACTACAGTAATAGTTTAACATCAGAAGAGTTTTCGTTTCATAAATACCAATTTCCAGATAATATTTAAAATAATATAAAATTAAGGTAACCATCAAATTCTGTTAAAACATAATATGAATAGTAATAATTATTATTCATTAATTAATTAGATGATAAATCAATAATAATGATAATTAATAAATAATTTCCAGCTTTTGCCATTAATATTTGAACAAATGATCATAATTATGATCGGAGCTGTAATAGAAATTTATGAAACTGCTTATCGAGTTGATCTTTTTATGCTTCTGAATGAGGCAGTAAATCGACGTAATGAATTGCAAACTTTAAAAGATCGCCAAGATCAATTATTACTTTCTGTTATTCCTGCATATCTCACGGATCGAGTCAGTTCTAATTACTTAAGAAATTCTGTGATCAATTTTTAAAAAACCAAACTGTTATTTAAAATATAGAATTAATTAAGGCAAAAAGTATCAAATTCTGTTATAGTATAATATGAATCAGTAATATTATATCCATACTTAAATTTAGAACGGATACTATGAAAAAATTAATTTCGATGCGTGAAAAATAACAGTTATGCAAAAATATGAGATGAGATTAATTTTGCAGGCAAGTAAAGGTATAATGTCAATTTCTGAAAATGTTAGTAAGAATAATCACCAGCATCGAAAATTATTTCACGAGCTTTACGTTCAATATCACGCAAATGTGAGGTAATACGAATCTTACAAATTTAGCTAATTAATTAGTAATTCTGAAGGTTTTTGTAATGTAAATCTTGAGCGAATTTGTTAAAATGTTTCACTTTTTGCATTTATTTTATTGAAATTTAAAATTTTACAATATACTTAATAATTAAATGATTTTTATAAGTCATGTAAATTTATAAAATAAAAATATAACTTTTGAACGCATGAATGGCAAATAATTTCCCAGCATACTTTTTGCGGATATAGTCAATTTCACGGTGCTTGCGTCAAAGTTAAGCGCAAAAGAACTCGTTCACACTCTCAATGAATTATATTCAAAATTTGATCGAGATGCGCAGGTTGACCACTATTGACTTTTCCAAGAGATTACTTGTTTGTAAGAAAAAATTGCACGTTTATATTAAAAATGCACAGGAGTGAGATTACTTGTTTATAAATTATGGAAAACACTTGGTGCTTAATAATTTTGATTATTATAATTAATAATTGAAAAATTAATAATTCATGATTTAAAAATTTTTTTTTGCTTTGCATCCTTTGATGATTATTTGGTTGCTTTCAAGAAATAATTGTTTATGAAGTAATAACTTTTGATATTTTATAATTGATAGTTGGAAATTCTGTCTAGTTTTTTTGCTAATTTTGCTAATGACAATTTTACTAGCAGTATTTATGACTAATTAATTATTAATAATTTTGCATGTTTATTTTTAATGTTTTTCTATTAATAATTATGAGCAACTCTTTTGCTCCTTCTGTTAATAATGAGTAATTATTTTCTGGTAAAAAGTTAAATTTTCAAGTATTATTGATTCAAACTGTTTTTTCCCTAAATGATCAATTGATTATTGATCGAAGCATTTTTTGAGTGAAAATGTTAACTGATATTTGATTTTTTATTAAATTAGACCAGGCATGTGTGAATTTCAGAAACTTCAATGTATGCGGATCAAATTTTTGGGTGACTGCTATTACTGTGTCAGTGGTTTGCCTGTGAATAGGCCTAATCATGCGGATATGTGCGTTATTATGGGCCTTGAAATGATTAAGACAATTAAGTATGCATATTCAGATGTTTGCAGAATTTTGTTTGTAATCATAATATGCTTAAGACAAGGTTTCTTTCTTTTACTACTTACTATTAAGAGTAAAAGTGGAAAGAATTCTGAATTCTATCAAATTTTTGTAAGTTAGTCAAACATTTCGAGTTAATGGTACATTATTAGCTTTTTATTCATAAAAATTCTAGAGTTTCTGAATCAAAATATAATTAGTGATTATAATCTTAGCTATTGTAATTTCGGAATTGCGATAATTAAATCATAGAATTAAGATATAATAGCATGTGATGATTCTCTTTCACCGCTTTTTCACAACTTCATTTTACCGTTTTCTTTTTTATATAAATCATTTTATTCCATTAATTTGATATTACGTTATTTTTTTAAATTCATTTTTCCCTTATATTCATATTTTTAACGTTATAATTTCACGGCTTTTTATTTAGCGTAGTGCAATTTTTAGACAAGTTCAAATAGCGACCAATGTTGACGTTAATATGCGTATAGGCGTACATACGGGATTTGTATTATGCGGTGTTCTTGGCCTTCGCAAATGGCAATTTGACGTTTGGAGCGATGATGTGACTCTTGCAAATCATATGGAATCAGCTGGAAGACCAGGGTTTCTCAAAAAATTTTCTAGATCTGTGATATGATATAATATCAAATTATCACTTAATAATTAACTTGCTAGTGATAATGATACTTTTATCAATTTGATTGAATTTGTTATGATTGATTGATAACTTTAATAATCTGTGATTGATAAATTTATGAATAAATTAAGAAATTAAAGGTATAATATTAATTATACCTGTAAAAAATTTCTTCAGAGCGGTTCACATTACAAAAGCAACAAAAGAACTTCTTTTTGGCGAGTATAATATTATCGAAGCACAGTAATTTTTTCAAAGTTTACTACCATATTTTACAGACGTCAATTGTACTACACAGTTTGCATGATTTAAGATGAATAATTGATCAAATTCATATCAATATTGATTTTTTTGATTGCAATTGATGTCTTTTTAAATTTTAAAAATTTGTTTTAGTTCAAAAGATCCAATACTCACTGCGCTTGGACAACCAACTTACTTCATTTTACCAGATAAAACGACGATTTTTCAACGTGCAGTATCTATTCATCATAGGTTTATTTATTTATGTACTTATTTATTTATTCATTTGTTTTAGTTATTTATTTATTCTGCTTTTATAGGCCTTAAAATTTAATTTCTGTTTGTGTATATCTTACTTTTCACATGAAAGTAATGATCTAGCCTGTTCTCAGTCATTTAGTCAATAATTTAGAATTTGACTTTGATGAGCTTAAGGTTTAGGTAGTTGACTTTTTAGTATAAATTTTTGTATTTTTGTTTTCCAAACAGAAGGGGGGCTTTTTAGTAAATTAATTTTGAGGTTTTTTGTTTTTTCGGGCACTCACACAATCATTCAAATTAAAATATGCATAAATATTTAAGACTAAAATCATTGTAATACTAAAATCTGATTGTATTTACACTGAATTTAAAATTTCACGTAAGTGAAACAAAAAAACGTTTGAAATTTTACTTAATCATTATGCAGATCAATGTAATTAAATGTTATTTCATGTTTCATATCAAATTTATGACTAACTTTGAAATTCAAATAAGTTTTATATATTTTTTGAAAATTTTTTTTCATTTTCGTCATTTTTAATCTTAAAATTATGCAAATTGTTCATATAAATTCAAAATGGATTAAAAATTAGTATATATATTAATGACACAAAATGATAACAACTAATATTTCATGATAAAATTTGATTTTCTTTCTCTTAACTATTCAGAAATTCGGTCAACAACTATAATTTTTCTATTCGAAATCATTAGTTTTACAAACGAAAACTGCTTACAACAGTTAATTTAATTAAAAAATTAATTAGTAACAAAAATTTTTTTTATTTGAAGAAGAAGAATGATTACTGATCAAGAAGGATGTAATGACTTACCATTCTCTCGATCATTTAGTCAAAAATCATTCAAATCAAAAGCATCAAAAATTGTTGAATATTGGGGCGCAGAAACACCATTTGCTAATTTGTCTCGAACATCTTCAGATCTTTTACTTAAGGTGAATTATTTTTCCCTTTTGTTTAGTTTTGATTATTGTTATTGATTAGTATTGATTGATTAGTAAATAATTTTTTTTTAAATTACAGGAAGAAGGCAAGCATGCTGTAGTGTGTCGTGATTCAAATGCAATTCAAAGTTTAACACTAATTGAAAATAATTTTGCGAGCCATGAGATCAAAACGTAAAGCAAATACGTCTCAAAATTTTTTAAAATTATTAAATTATCGTAATTAAATTAAAAATTTAAACACTTTTTGAAATAGGATTTTAATCTAAATTAAGATGTAAATGTGCTTTTATTTTTTTAATGCAAAAATTATTACTGCGCAAGTAATTAATTTAAACTCATTAGAATTTTTAACTTTTAATTGTGTAAATCTGAACAATTTTTTTAAACGAATAACAGTAATTTGATGAAAATGATTTGAAATTTACGCCATTGTCAATGTTTGATTAAATTTTAATAATTTTAGTTTTTTCGATCTTGCGAAATGCGCAAAGTCGATGGTTTCGAGTACAGCAACATTTAATCCAATCTTAACTACAAAGTTTAAACTTTTTACATAGATTTTTTCCAATTGTTATTTTCTTTTGGTCAAAGGTCACAGAATTATTGCAAATTTAATTTTTAAGAACAAAAAATGGCTTCTCTGATCGACTGTTTGCTCGTAAAAAAATGACAGACCAAATTTCGCTCTGTTGGCTATTACTACTTTTGGCTATACCACTAGCTGGTATTCAGATTTGTCTATTATTGGCAAAAAGACCGTAAGTTTACTTTTTTATGTTCTAAATGAAAGTATAAAACGGTCAAAGGTTATATTATAGAACAGAATAAATTTCTGGAAGTTAAAATCGATCAAAATTTTTTACTTATACTTTTCAATGTTCCATTTAGCAGATTCGAAATTTGCAACCCTAAAAAAGATTTTTCAGTCAACGATTTAAATAAAATCACTTTTCTTGCGTGTGAAAATAATTTTATTCTTTATTTTTATTTTATGCATGTAAAAATAATTTTTAATAATAAATTTAAAGGCGCAAATTTGCTCAGTGAAATTTTGAAAAATTTTTAATGTTTTTTTTAAACAATAGAAAGTTTTAAGTTCTACCTTGGGGTAATTTGCGCAAATTTTATATTTTCACTTAAAATTAATTATTTATTTAAAATTGAAAGTCAGTTTTTATGTGCTTTTTTCTTAACTATAGCAGTACAACTTATTTTCATATTTTAATCGACAGAATCAATTAAAAAACAAAAATAAAGCAGTAATTATTTTAGTTTATTTGTTAGAGAGACAATTTATACAGCTGAGATTTACACTGATTGTATTTAATGTGTTAATTGTATTTGTGACATATAAATTTAGATTTTATAAGCAAAATATAAAAATTAATTTTATTTTTTTTAATTTTTATATTTTATTCTCAAAAATTATAAAAAGTAGTACAACAAAGTAAAATGGGTTATCTTTAAATATAATTTAAAATTGGAAAACCTAACGATTTTTTTTTTGTTGATATAATCAAGCATTACAGGTAATTTTGAAGTAATTACTGTGTTTCGTTTAATACAGTAATCAAGCTCTTTGCTGATTTCTATGCTTAGTCATAAATCGTAAAAATTGCTTGAGTGCTTTCTTCTGTATGATGCAAGCTTTATCTGGATGCTAAAAAGACTTATTACTTGCAATATGCATTAAAATTATATATTTGTATAATTTGATGTTTCATGATAACATTTAAGTTTTATCATCTGCAAGTGAAATAAAAAAATTTTAGTGCTAGAACTAGTCACGATGAAATTTACGTAAACTGATAACGTGTGAAACGATAATCGAATAAAAGCAATTTTTGCTGTTGAAACTGCAGCTAATGAATAACTGTAGTGAAGTACAAAATGCGAGTAAAAATTCGTCTAGTTAATAATTCATAATATTGGCATACAGTACCACATTCATAGATATATAGCGGTACAGAAGATTGAAAAATCAAATCGACTGTACAAACTAATGTACGGTGTCATAGTATTGTAGACTGCATTATAATTTCAGGGATTCTGTATTACTGAATGTTCTTCCAATATTCATGCTCATGACATTATTGACAATAACAGCAGTGGTGGACCTTTACTGTTTTTCTACTTCTTACTCACTTGTAATTTTCTCATTTTTACTCACATCTACAATAACTATCAGTCCATATGTAAGTATTTAATTATTTTTCTGATTTTGTGTTTGGTTCTTACAAAAAGTATACGCATATATACACAAAAAAGAAATAGAAAACAAATATTCAGCAAAGTTTTTTGTCAAACAAAAATAATTAATTAATTTTCAGATTTAATTTTCAAATTTAATTTTTTGATTTAATTTCAAATTTGATTTTGAAATTTAATGTTTAGATTTAATTTTTAAAGAGTCAAATTAATTTGGCAATTTATATGTAGATTACTAACACAGCTCACATATATTTTTAAAGTTATGTATTTTAAAATTAAAAAAATCTTTTTGTAAAATATCTAAAATGCAAGTCAGTCAAACATCCAATACTTTATATTTTCAAAAGTTTATTTTACAACTTGCAAGTTTTGAATTTGTATAAAAGTAAGATTTTAAACAAAATTTCATTCTTTCTTAAGTACTTGTTACAAAAATGAATTTATTTTAGCTCTTGCGCATATTACTGAATGAAAGTTTTTCGCCCTTCTTATGTTATCCCAGTAAGTTAGCTTTATTTACTGCAAATACAGTTACGTCGTTAATTACGATTATTCCATAAGTAAAGTTTTTGATATGTATAGCCACATATTGTATACAATACGTCATATTGTTGACATGGTGGTCGTAAAAGTAAGGAATTTTAAACCGTACGCTACTGAAAAATATTGAGGTTCCCACGTATCTAAAACTTTTTACTGGTCCATAGATATTGCAACATTTATAGTGTAGGATTACGGTCACTCTTGAGGTATAGCACCAAGTCTATGAATATCTATTCTAAGTCTTGCAGTTACTGTATAGAAAGTGTTGTGTAATAACTTGGATAGACTTTAAATTCCAAAAATTTGGAATCAACTGTGATTCATAATTTACTGAATATTTTTTATTGATATCTAATTATTAAATTAAATTGAGGCTATGTTATTCATTTGGCGTTCGTTTTCATATTGCACAATTTTTTGTCGTTATATCGAACAGCTTTATTAATTATTGACTTCTTATGCTTTATTATATTATTATGCTTATATCCCAGAGACGAATTCGGTTTAGATCGAAAGTGAGTGCTTTAGTAAAATATGAAATTGAAGTTTTTGATTATAAATTTTAAAAGTTTTTTACAGTTTTTATGAAAAAGTGAGCCACTAAGAACTTTCAAGTACAGAAAAAATCATGAGATCAATTAATTCCAGAAAATAATAAACTGAAGTTACGGAATATTTCAGTTTTGCTCCGGTGGTAACAACTATAAGCTTGATATTAGAACTGTGTCTAATATTATTCATCAGTTGCATTGTAAGTAATCTTTACTTAATTAATACAAGTTTATTCAAGGAGAATTATCTATTTCTTGAAAATAATTTGTGCAAATTTCAGACTAATCATGAGAGAAACGTGGAATCCGCTTGTAAAGCATCATTCCGTGACGAAGAAAAAGAAGTAGAAACAATGCAAGGCATCAACAAACTTCTTATTGAAAATATTTTACCATCACATGTAGCTGCGAAATTTTTGAATCCTAGTCGACCAGTAGATGTAATAAATTTGATAATGTGAAATTAAATCTTTTAAAATTCAAAAATTTTAAGTAATTTGAACTTGATTTTTTAAAAGTTTTCAAATTTAGCATATACAAATGTTTGAATATTTATAGATTTAAATAAATGCATAAATTTGGGAACTCAAACAAACTTAGAACTTTTATTTGACTTGAAAAATAAATCAGTAAGTTTCTGACAAAAATGAAAGCAATTGAAGAAAATTTTTAATTTCTTCTAATAGAATTACGATAGTTTATTTTCATTATCTGATCTAGAATATGTTTTTAGTAATTGTTTTACTGTGAGCAATCTCATTTTGTAGGAACTGTATGCACATTTACACGAAGATGTATGTGTGATGTTTGCTAGTATTCCAAATTATCAAGTATTCTGGAGTGAGTGGGATAGATCCCGAAAGTTAGAATGCCTTCGACTTCTGAATGAAATTGTTTGTGAATTTGACAAGGTTAAAAAATTTTGATCTAATTGATAAGTGATATAATTATGTTATTAAGTAATCTAATCGATCAACGATTGAATCCAATCAATAATGGATAAGAAATGATATTTGATAGAGAATATCATTATATGAATGGATTATCGTGGATTTATTGAAATTTGTTCCACTTGTTGCTTCTAAATTAGGAATATTTACTTAATTTATAGAAATTAGTTTTAAATAGTATGTTTTGATTAATATACTGATTACAGTTAATAAACTTATTTAAATTAGTTCTAATTGAGAAAATAAATTAATTACGAATCACTTACAAAGTAGGAAAAAATTAAAACTTTTAGCTTTTATCAAAACCGAAATTCAGTGGTATTGAGAAAATTAAAACAGTTGCAAGCACAACGTACATGGCTGCTTCAGGTTTGAATGAACAAGAGCTGCTTGATACTTGTGTGAGTATTTATAAATTAAGATAATAATAGGACTATTTACTTATGATAATATTCTATTGTATTATTAATAATTACTAATAATAATATTAATAACAATAATATTAGTATCAGTGATAATCGTGAGCACAGCTGCTGAATTAGCTGGGAATGTAATAATACTAATAATTATATTATTGATCATAATTAATGATAATTTATAATAATTTTTGATATATAAAATTAATAAGAAATATTATTGAAAACAATAATTATTATTATTATTGTTACTAATAATAATATTAATAACAATAATAATGGCAATAATAATAATATTATCATTATTATTAATATCTTCATTATCATTATCATAAATATTAAACAATAGATATTTGAAAATCCCCATGTTTACTGCGTGAACAAGTGAATAATGATTAGAAGCAAGAACAGTGTTAATTAAGTTATCGGTCAGCTGATATGATCTTCTAAAAAACAGAAGTGATGGTGCTAGTGGTGGTAATGACTCATTACGATATCACCGTAATCCAAAAGATTATTTTTTGAAATAATATTTATTTAATATTATGGGTTCGAATTAATTTAAGGTCAACTCAGCTACTGTACCCAAGGTATCAGTAGCGATTACTAAACAATGTTACTGTATGCATATTCGTTACCGTATGACTTTTTACCGTTACTGTACAGTGATACCGTATCATTTCAGGAATTTATTGATGAGATCGATGAGAAACCGTGTAAACCAAATAATACGGTAGGAAAGTACATATGAAATTAAAAAGCCTTAATTCATACTTTTGTGCCAAATTTTAAATGACGCAAAGTAAATAAAGAATTAAAAAACAAATATACTTCAGGCTTATCGTAACGTCTCGTTAATGGTTGAGTTCGCACTAGCAATGAATGCTGTATTACAAAAGCTTAACGGTGACTCATTTCAGAATTTTGAATTACGCATTGGTAAGTTATAATTTGACCTCTAAATCGTTATTCATTTGAAGTGGAAAAATGAATATTTTAAGAATTTTGAATTTACATAAAGTACTGTACTCTTGAATCATTAGTAATTTTTCTGCGAAAATGAAAGGTACGTTAGATGAATATTAGAAAGTTGTCAAAAACAGACTACTTGTTCCGCAAATTTTCAGTAACTCAGAAAATTATTTAAATTCAAGGGGATATTAAAGCTGCAAAATCCATAATTATTACTAAAGGTCATAGGTTGGTTGAGAAGGGTAAGATTTTTGTGGTATAAATCAAATCGAAGTTAGCTGTTATAACATCATTCGGCAATACATTTCCTTAAGTGTATTCCTGAAGGAAGCGCATATTACACTCATATTGCCATCGTAATATACCCAACATAGATGAGAAAAACATAATATGCTATTCATTATATACTACAAAAGCAAATTTATATCAAGTAGATTTGGGGATCAAAATAATTCCAAATGTTCAAGATAGCAAACTTAACTTAACATGTCGTCGTCTTTGTAAAAAATTATAAAAGAAGTTAAAATTATTAAATTTATTTACAGGAATGAGTTGCGGACCACTGGTTGCAGGTGTCATTGGAGCACAAAAACCCCAATATGACATTTGGGGAAATACTGTGAATTTAGCAAGTAGAATGGATACGTATGGAGAACCACGTAAAATCCATGTAAATATTTGAATTTTCTAAGTCTTTTATCGCATTCAAAAAACTCCTGATTGTGTTTCGAACAAATATTATTATAATGGAATAACAAACTAACAGCAAATGTAGAAAAGCTACAGTATTGATAATTTTTATTAAAAAAATTACTAGTTGGTTAATTAAAATTAACAAAAATTTTTAGATGACAACAACTGCGGGTCGAGTATTACAGCACAGTTCATATGCGGTTAAAAGTCGTGGATTTATGAAGGTTAAAGGTGTTAAGGAACCAATTGAGACATTTTTTCTTGATTTAAAATACAGTAATCGTGGTATTAGTACTAAGCTCCATAATTAGCAAGTTATTTATTAAATAGATAATTTAGCTTGTAATTAATTACTCACGCAATTATTAATCGCTGAATTAAAGCTATCAATTTTTCCCCAGAAAAGAACTTTTTATTCTAAAATTTAATTATTTTGATCATCATAATAATTAAATTTTAAAATACTATGAATACTGTGAATTTTAACTATTATTTTTGTATTTTAGTTATACTGCAAAAATATATTCATATTTGTTTATCAGTATTTCAGTATTCAGGATATCCAATTATAGCTCGTATAAAGATTAAATTACAGATTTTAATGATTTTTGTTAATTAAATTTCATTAAAATGTTGTACGATATGTGTGATAAAACATTTTATCTAGCAAGTTTTAACCAGTCAAAATTGCTAACATCGAGAAAACTGATGATAAATTTACATAATAATCTAATGAATAATTAATTGTAAGATAATTGCTTATACTGTAAAAAGAATACTCTTGTGCTGAGTTAATCAATCATAAATCGGAGTTAAGCTGGCACTGGCAACAGCTCGACCTACTTCATTCTCGCATACGACCAAGTAAGTACCGTAATGATAAGGCTGGATGTAAGGTATCGTTAACCTGCATAAATCAGCAGTATCGCAGATTTGTACATCATCAAATTTCAATTTTTCATAGTTGAACAACCAACAAACCTTAAATTATTCATTACTGTCATTTATCATTATTGTTTACTATTACTATTATTTATTATTTTTATTTACTATTATTATTTATTATCAAACAAACAATCAATCAATCAATCAATCAATCAGTGATTTATTTATTTATTAGTATTATTTTTATTCTTATTGATTATTTTTATTTAACAATAATTGATATTATTAGTGTAAAGATTGAATCAATCCATAAATAGATGAAAAGCTTGCATGAAAAGTATTTTTCCAGGACGAAAATATTTTGAATTTATAAAACTTAACTTTACAGTTTACAGTCCAAAGAATCACTAATTTCCCCTTCATAAAAACTGAAATAGAAGTAATTGTTGCAAACTTAATCGAAAAGCTATCTACTATAATTATTTATAGTAATGATGAAGTAAGCAAGTAATATAATTCAATTCTATAGTTTATAGCTGTGATAATATTCTTCTAGACTAATAGTTATTTACCAAGCTAATAATTCCAAATTAAGCTATTATTATTGGAGTTGTAATTTCAAAAACACGTGTATCAACTTTTTTTGAATTTAGTTTATTGAAGGATTTTTCTACTCATATCCAAATTTTTTTTTCAGATCAAAAAGTCAACAAACCTTAGGCCTTGGTGATCCAAGCAATATACAGTCGAAACATGCCTGCTGCCCAATCTCTGCGCGAACATCTCCAAATACTTTTAAAAATTCTGGTGCGTAACTCCATGGATTTTTTGCATATTTATTATGTGGTATTTCATATGCTAGTTGATCCACTTGCTTAATCATTGATAATTTTAGAATTCATAATAATTTTTAATGATCTGAAGTTGATGATATAAATTAATGATCTAAATCTTTAATAATATTTAAATCATTCAGTTAGATCACCAACCTTTTTTTTCTTTGACCTTTTTGCCATTTTTTAATCTGTTTGATTACTCTAAAAACTGAATATTTACTTTCATATTTAATATTTAATCCAAACTTTTTTTTCCTGAAATACTAATTCGAATGCTTAATATTTTTTAGCATTTAAACTTTATTTGTAAAAAATATTATTAAAAGCATTTACTAATAAGCAGTATTACTTATACTTTTGTTAATGGATTCCGTGTTGGTAATGGCCGATAAATTGTTGAGTCATCGAGCATTTGTAAACCATAATTTGAAGAAAGACTGTTCGGTGAAGGAGTAAAACGATGCATGTCTAAAACTAGTTTTCATATAATGAATTTTTTCACAAAATAAACATCTAAAAATATTTTTGTTAGATTGAGATACTTTAGATGTTCATAAGAATTTGGCCTATCTGATTAAAATTAATTATTCAACTTCCAATATTTGAATAATTCTAAAATTAAAAAAGTAATCTCTAAAAGCTATAAACCCCTCAAATGGCATCATTATTTTATCGCAGTAATTTAGTACAATCCTTCAAAATATTTATTTTAATTTTGATAAGTAATGAAAATACACTCATTTAAAAATAATATAGAAAAAATTGCATATTACATAAATTTTAATGAATTTATTGTAGTTTCAATTTTTGTACTTCTTAAAGCTAACAAACTTACACCTGTCTAATTACTAATTAATTATTCACTTTGATAAATCTAAAAGGATTTAAAAAACGTTGATTAGTAGAAAATAAAACAATTAAGAAAATTGCTAAATGTTATCTAGGGAGTTACTCAGTGACGCTGTACACTAAAGCATAGGAAAACTGGAACCAAAAATCTTTAAACCAACTAAACTAGTTATTTGTTAGCTAACTTATTACTTCTGATTGCTTCTGCGTGAAGTATATAATATATATATTTATTCTTTGATCAGTATATTTGTCAGAGAACAGTATTGTTAGGTATATATCGTAATAATAATCAAAGAATTTCTATTTTCATGCTTTCTTAAAAGGAAGAATGCAATACTCACTATGAAAAAGTATTTCATGCGCAAACCGTTTTAAAGGTTTAACAAAACTGTACCATAATTTCGCAAAACTTTGCGACGCAACAAATTTGCATGATCTTGAGACGCAACAAATACGAAATATTTCATGTATGCTTACTTCAAAGATTAAACACGATTGTAACATTTTCGCACCACTGCGAGACGACAGATTCGCAGGACCCTACGACCTGACATGCTCAAATTCGCACGCATCTAGGACGTAGCGAATTTGTGAGATGCGACAATGGACCGAACACTACAACACTGATGCAAGAAGCTGACTCGAAAGCAACTTTCTATTGTCACAATAAAAATGCGACCACTTGAAATGTTTCTTCAAAAATCATTTCCGTTTATTCTGCTGCTTTAGATGATGGATAGTATCTTGAAAAAATATTAGTTTAAAAAAAATTTATTGCAGAGCATTAGAGAACAATTCAATACGCTAATAAAGCAATTTTTAGACAAATGAAAAAATGTCAACTATATTTGCTCAAATGCCAGTATGCAAATACTAAATATAGAAAAAACAAAATACAGACTTTAAACAGTATATCCAAAAATGTCAGCATTACAAAGTTTCTTAACAATTCAAATCTCACCAGCTGAATGAACAAAATATTTAGATTAAATATCGAAATCACCGAATCTTTGCCACTAATTTTCTCTTTATCTGTTACAATTTTGAGTTCAAACGTTTGCTATTTTTACTAATAATCTTTTTTAAGGCAAATGTTGGTCAATGCATTTTCGTAGTCTTTTAGATTTTCTAATTGGCATTTCATCCACAGTTGATTTCTCCTTTCTTCTTCGTCTTTGCTGACCATCATTAATTTCCAAAGAATCTAATGCCGGTTGTCGAATTTCTACAGCAGTCTTAGCTTGTTCACTAGGTTCTTCTGTCTGCTCTTCATTCAGCTTCTTGACATTATCATCTGATGTTATTTTTACTACTGCCGGGCTAGAACCTGTAAATTCTAATTATCTAGTATTTCATTTTGTTACTTCCATATCATTGAACTGTTATAAAAGTTAATAAACAAAAATAAATCCTAAAATTGAAACATACTTAAATTAACAGCTATTCTGCTTTCACTTGACTCAATCGGATTCGCAGTCTAAAATTAAACAATCAGTATGCGCTATAACGAAACTAATACACTTTAATCTCAATGAAAAGCCAAGAAAGTCTCTGCAAATTCTATACATATTAAAACTTACAACGAAATCGCGCTCATAAATTTTTTTAACAGCCATACAAACTGATTCAATACATTCGTCGATGTGACGGCTCATCAGTTCAGTAAATTCCGGCACAATCTGTTTACTACTACCGACATTTTCACTTTCACTTTCCATTTTCTTAGAGCATAAATATTTTCTTGGCTAAAAATATATCCATTACAATGTGCTACAGCTGAGACAAATAAAATGCAAAACATTTCCTGATGTAGAAAAGGAATTTAAATCGAAATAAAAATTCAACTAACAACTCCATAAAAACATTAAGTATAATAAAATTACTGACAACAACCAAGGCTCAGAGAAAGATTTTTTTTTAAATCCAAAAAATAGAGTAATTAAATTTTACATCGATTTGCAGCTAACCTGTTTCAACAGTCGCCTTTTAAGAAATTCACGAACACTTAAGTTTGCCGAACAACTAGGAATCATCAATGCTTCATCTTCCGCATCTGTTTGAACTAGTGATTGTTTAGAAACTGAATCCTTCGTATTTTGCGATGCATTTGAATTTTTGGCTTGTTGTTCTAGTTCCACTAATTTTGCAGCACCAACAGATCGCAAGTGCATTCGGTTCTCGACTGAATCTTCACTTTCTATCGCTCGATATAAAAGCATTGGCCAAAATAGTAATACCCGCATCTTTGCCTAAAACACAAAACTGCCGTGCACATTGGAAATGTGCGAGAGAATAGAGTCATAGTTACTTCAGTAATGAAATTTAAAAGAGAAAATCAGGACCTTTAGCAAAACATATTCAGGATCGAATATAATTTTTTCAGAAAGCTGAGGATATATGCTAGTTTCTTCGCCCTGAAAAATTTCAACTGTTGAAGTGCTGATATATATTTGTCTCATTCCAGAATATGTTGGAAAAACAAAAACAAATGAAAAAATCTTACCGATACTAATGGATCGAATAACTGCGCTGCCAAATCGTAAAGAAAGTGCATATGTTTCTAAAGTCTTTGCTGATTAAAAACTCATGCATTGTACTTTATGAACGTATAATAACAAAATTTCATGTGAAAAAAATTATACCAAATTAGGTTTCACAGAAAATTACATTAATTTTACTGCAACCGTCTATACTTGAAAGATATATTTATTTTTTAATAAATAACTGACCAAAGCTTATTTATATTTAAAGCGAAAAGAATCGCATCAGAAAAAACCAATTCCAAGAGCTGTCAACTACAGCCCACATATGTTTTGATTTTTAAAAGAACATTATGAAGATAAAGCCAACTTTGTTTTTACACTTAATACATAAATTAAGATGAAAACAAAAATGATAATAAAGTATGCTATAAGTAAATCAGAATCAAAATATCAGTTGATTCACAAAGGTAAGTAACTTGCCTTAATATTTTCGTATAAATGCAACGAACCAATGCAAGGTGGTAAAGCAAAATCACCAACACCGGTGGCCACAGCTTCATTTATATCATTAATAAGTACCTAAAAGACAGAATTGTTTTAACAAGAAGATTCAATTCTGTCCATGTTTCAAATTATAATTTATTGTCGCCACCTAAAGATTTTAAGAAAATATCAAAAAGGCAATTAATTATATCAAAAATTAACATTCACAAAAAACTGACCGAACGAAGGTATCGAGATATTTCATCAAGAATTTCACTTTTAACAAATTTTGTTTGTCGTTTGATACACTGTTTAGTATCATTTCTTTTAATCAAATCACATAATCCATCAACTATATGATCTTTAGCACCCTGTAGCTTTTCATAATGAAGACGAAGAAAACATACTGAGAAATAAAAAAAAAAAGAGAGTTGCTGAAATGTTTTTAGCTCGAATTTCAAAACGTAAGACATAATGTAGAAGATAGAACTTAAATTAACTGAAATAACTGAGCAACTGCAACTTGTATTCTCTTACAAAAAATCAACTTAAACCAGAGTTTGTTAAAATAAAAAAGCATGAGTTTTTCACAACAAAAAACTTCTACCTTACATGAATTTTTATCTCATCAACTGATTACTCAAAGAACTCATGCATACCCTCTTTCATTGGCTTTTGAAATACATTATATAACATAGCAAGCATAAGAAAAAACGCAACAACCTTTTCATCAGTTTCTTGTAAAATTTTGCACCTCATATCAAACTCATACTTTTCTTCATCTGTTAAAAGAGTGCCAGTGCTTTCTTCAAATAATTTTTTAAAATGTTTCATCAAAACATTTTGCATTGAACTGTCCAAATAACTGAAAAATTAGGGAGTAAAAAACATATCAACAAAACGTTCAACTACATCAGTCAGGTTGGAAAAGGAAAAATTATGAAGAACATTTATTAGAAAGACTCAAATAACCGATTCATTTCAATTTATTATACTTGATGTCAAATTGCAGCTTGTCGCTTAGCAGTCTGTAAATGGCTTCTTCATTATTCTCCTCAGTTTCCAAATTAGTTTCTCGAATTTGACTGAAAAATTCGATGGCTGTTTTTCTTTGCTCCGGAGCCATCGCTGAAAATGCTTCCATTTCATCAACGCTTAATCCTTCCTGCAAAAAATGAATGATCATATTCAAACAGACTATGAAAAAGTAGGATGGGCTTTAATTCAACCTTTTGAACATTTTTAGAGAAAGCTAATAAATAAAATGACTACCAAGAATCAACATATTTAAGGGCACTGACTTCCTACAGATTACCACTTAGTTTTATGTACCTTATTTTTCGTTTAAGATATAATACGATTTAAACTTAAAAGTCTTCTGTGCAACGATACCTAATTACAACACAACTAAATGCACACATCTAGACTAGAATACACTGCAGTATATTTAGACTAAAAGACAGAAAATAGTTTAATTTTTAGTACATCTTCTTTCTAAAAGAGGAAAATGCTAGCAACCAAGCAGCATTCAAATTATCTGCTTTATAATCTAGGAGTTCTTCCTGCTCAAAATATAAAGAAATTACGATGTCGAAAGAATTCAGAACTTGCTCCACAAGACCATCTGCAGCTAGCAGTTTGCGAAATGTTTCTTCGACCTAAATGTAAATTTGAAATAATGATTTCTTGCATTTTAAATGTATTTATTAATTTGATTTCAATTAATACAGCAGTAACAAGCAACAAAATTTTTTGTTGTCTGTGTTATTACTGTAATGATGAGCATACTGATTACTTCTTGTCGACGATGTTTGCCTCTCCAGTTGAAACGTTTTAATGGATATGAGCGACAGTGCGAAGCCAGCTAAAATTACTGAATAAATAACTCTTTTCAATAACCATGATAGCAGATGTTAAAAAAAAATGTCTTCAAATTAAATCTAGAAATGAACATTTTTAGTGGATTATAAAGCTATAAAAACCTTGACTTTAGCCGAAAAGAGTGATCGAAAACGCGATTTACAATGTGAAGCAGATCGGCCCGGAATCAATGTTGAAATTCTTGACCATTCACCTACAAAATATTACACTTCTGAAAATTTTTTACATCAACAAAATTAAGATTTACAATCTATATTTTTAAGTAACCTTTCCCAAAGATTTTAATTCCTTCCAATAATTTTTCATCTTCTTCAAGTGACCACGGCTCTGATTTAATACTTTTATCTAGTACATTTACCCATCTGAAATAAGAAAAGCAACTGCTAGGGTTATTAAAATGTAATACAATTTTATTCGCTTACCACATCTAAGATTTTCAAAAACTTGAGCAAACCTATCACGACACTGAGAATCACTTCTTCCTGGTACATGTGATGCAACTTTTATCCAATCTTTTGTTCCAAACCGACTCACAGCACATGTTAAAATCTACAAAACATAGATAAAAAACAATTAAATACAAACAATGGGATTTCACTTTTAAACATTTTCTCCAAACTAATGTTGAAATCTATATTTGTATAAGTAATTCAAAAGCTGATATACGAAAGATACAAAAATAAAAGCAAGTAGATGTCACCATACCACATCTTCACTTGCATCCCATCGACCAAATTTAATGCTGGTATCAAGAGTTCGTTTATACCTGCAGGAACATTGTTGACGTGATCTCGTTTCCATGAAATGTGAAACTGAAACAAAGATTTTAAGCTGAGAAGATGGTTCCTTCGCAAGAAAAATCCGATAAGAATTCCACAACTTGGCAAAATTTACTTTTTTCCCAGTGCATATGACCGTTTACTTGCATACAGTGAGCCAAAGTCATTAGCTGAGCGTCCTCTTCCTTCGTCCAAGGCCTGTAGAAATCATGAAAAATATAATATTTTTTTTTCAATTCCGAAATATCGTTTCTTCACGGTTAATCTGAATAAGTCTTTTTTTTACATCTGTTTTGTTACTGAATAAAAAATGTAGAATTCCGAAAAATGAGGACACATCACAATGAAAACAAAACAACAACGATTACAATCCATATATTTCGTATAGAACTCCAGCAGAAAAAAGAGACTTACCGTCCAGTATTTTCAATCTCTAATTCACTCCGATATTTCACGAAACACTGAAATGGTGTACGATTTGTACCTAATCGTTCGGCAATAACATTCCAATTATTCCACTTTCCTGCATATTTTCTGAGTTGCTCTATTTCTTGAGCAGACCACGGTTCCTTAGACCACTTAGGACAAAGTTCATTAACCCATTTCAATCGTAATTGTCTCGGAGTCCGATTTCCCAGAAACTAAAAATGAAAAAAATTTAGAAAAGTATTTCCAGATTGCATAAAATCAGGTCAAATAACGTGAAAAAAAAAGTTGCACGACATTAGCAAATAAATTTTAAGATATCACACCTTAAAATTTGAGGCCCCATCATCTAGTGTAAAATAAAACTAACTGTTTCTATTTCAAACTTGAATACATGATACTAAACATACATCAACTTTGGCAATCTTGACCCAATCCACTTCTGAATAATCACCTTTTAATATTTCGTCATCTGAGAGATTTCTAAAACAAAGTAATCTTTAACACAAACCAACTTTTTTCCATCAAAAAGCATAAAACTACAATAATTGATTTTTCATGCTCTCACAGTCCCATTTGTTTTTATCAAACTGACTTGTGGTAATCAATAAGGCGTTCTAATTCAGAAAGATTGCTATTCCAAGCAGATATTTGTTCATCCGTTGTTTCCTGCCCAGCAGTACGAATTTTCCTCGCAATCATTTCTTTTCTTAAATCAAATATGAGGTTTATGACATTCTAAGTCAATTTAAACAAAAAAAAAAACATTTAGAACATTGAGAACTTTATCTACAATATTAGGCATTACTTCAGTACTGAAACTTCACTACATTTAATACGCTTCGATTTTCAAACAAGCACAGAGAATATAAAATACAGCGCGGACGTATTAATCGTAATAAAATCTTACTTCGTGATAAAAGGCTGGCAACGAACTTCGATTAGTGATTTTCGCACTGAATCTGTCAATACTTGACATTCTTTTGCGGTCCCTAAAAAATTTGCAATATACTTTCTTGAACCTTGAAGATATTAACTTTATATTATTTTATAAAACATGATGAGAAACTTTTTAATGGAAAATAAGTACATCTTCTTTCGGCTTTAACTAAAGGGTCGTATTCAGCACGCGAAACCTTCAAATCGTACTCGATATTTCTTGGCGCCTCCTTTAAATAAAAAATGATTACATGGTTCTTAGTTCCACAGTCAGATATTGCTTTGAAGTTATCAACCCTCAAGTTACACGTAAGCTTTAATTTTTTTGCCACACTGCAGTGCAAACAAACAAGAAAATCTAATACCCAGATTCCAGACTGTTAACTACATAATAAACAGAAAGTTAACCTATATATATATATATATATATATATATATATATATA